TTATTTTTATATATTTTATGGGCTATGATTTCAGATTAATTTGCTACTAAGATAGTCTTCAGTCCCTTTTCTCTTGTCAGTTTTCAGTGCTATAAATTGACATATTTTTCTGTAATCTCTCTCACTCCAACTTCTTCCAGCTTTGATTTCAATCTACTTTTACTTGCTCATACACCTGTGTACCCACACACATGCAAAACATGCAGACCACAATACACACGTGCGCACACACATTTTAAAAAAAAACATTTTTCATCTATCTAGATATCCTTACTCAATTTTCTCTCCTTCCAAGCCCTGGAACCCACATGGTAGAAGGAGAAAAATCAACTCCTACAGGTATTCTACTGACCTTCAAATTCATACTGTGCATGCCTACACTGTCCCCCATCCCCCACAAATAAATATCGTTTAAAAAATAATATATCCACAGAAATACTTGCATACAAATCTACATAGCAGCATTGTTCACTGTAGCTAAAAAAAGAAACAACTCAAATGCCCATTGATTAATAAATAATTAAAATGTGGTATAAATCCCGTATAATGAAATATACTGGATTTTATTGAGAGTACAGAAAGGACTACACCACAAAGACCCTTGTCTCAAAAAAGAATGCAATTGCTAAATCAATTTGGTGGCACATTCCATGTTATCCTAGCTCTACAGAGACTGAGGCAGGATGAACAAAAGTTTGAGGGCAGCCCCAACTACATATTGAGAATCTGCTCATAAATTAAATAAGTAAATAAATAAATAAGGTTGCTAAGAAAGACTGTTTAGTCTCATTGGATTTAAAAATACAGGTAACTATTAATCCCAGTTTTCCAGACAGAACAAATTGAATATATATTTATATGTGTGTGTAAGGTATGGAATGAGTGAGGAGAAAGAATTTGTTAAGATAGTTGATCTGTTGTGTAAGCTAAGCTCTCACAGTTGGCGCTCTGACAGCCGGAGAACCAAGGAGGCTGGTAGCATGGCTCAATCCATGCCTGAAAGCCTGTGAAGTTGGAGGCTGATGTTGCAATGCTCAGTCTAAGCTGAATGCCTCCTGAGAACAGGGGTAGGAAAGGTACTGCAAGTCAGAGAGTTCAAAAGTTCCTGGAGTTCTCTTCTAAGGGAGAGTAAGGTATTCCAGCTCCAGGAAGAAAGAGTGAATTCACCTTTTCTCTTCCTTTTGTTGGGGGTAGGGAGAGAAGCTAATTGGATTATGTCTACCAGGATTGAGGGCAAATCTTCCCCGACCAATCCCACTGACTTACATTCCAGTTTTCTGGAAATACTCTCACAAACACACCCAGAAATGATTTTTTCTAGATAGAAGGCATCCTTTAATCCTGTCAAGTTGACATCTAAAATTAAGGGTTACAGTATCATGAAAGTAGTTCTCCAACCACAGCAAGATGACTGGAAAACCACAAATCTTCAGATATTAAATAGCATACCCCCCTTTTTTAAAAAAAATATTATGTGTATGAGTGTATTGCCTGCATGTATGTGAGTGCACCCATGTCGTGCAGTGCCGCAGAGGTCAGAAGAGGGCTCCAGATTCCCCTGGAACTGGAGTTAAGGACGGTTTGTAGCTGCCATGTGGATGCTGGGAACTGAAGTTCAAATAATGCTACCTAAAGTGTGAGAAATGGACCTGCTGGTGTGGGAGTGGAATTTGGCGTTATGTGGACACTATCTTAAAATTTTTTAATTAGCTTTTTATTTAAAATTTTAACTAAAACATTAAAAGGGCCTATCATAATAACTCCCTTGATAGTGAACCCTTTGCTTATTTGCTATGAGTCTCACTTCTCCTTTATGGATGAATTCTGGGATCCATTCCTAGATAATTAATTTACATTTAAATATACTGTATACTCCTGAGGAATCTCAAAGTAAAAGTTTTGTAGCAAATTGCTCCTAAACCCAGTTTCCCACCTGTAAGTCCAAGATTCTTTTTATTTTCTAGTTTTGTTTCCACTCCTGCCGTTGCTACCTTGTCCCACGGTTTTTGGACTGAGGTGGAGTTTAGCATTGTGATTATGCTAACACAGGGTGATCATGCTAACCCAGGGTGATCATGCTAACACAGGGTAATCAGCCATGCCACTTTGTATGCACCCATGGAGATCAGAATGCTCATGGAGATCAGAAGAGGTTGTTGGGTTCTCTGGAACTAGAGTTTCAGACTGTTGTTAGCTAGCCATTTGGGTGCTGGGAACTGAACCATGGTTTTCTTTAAGAGCAGCCAGTGCTCTTAACTGCTAAACTAGCTCTTCAGCCCCTAAAATTGCTATTTACTGATTTTCCTTTAACAATCATAGGCAGGCAGGAGGATGCAGCTCCTAGAGAAGTGGAGTAGCAATAGAAAAGGTTGAGAAGCAGGCTTCCGCGTGGGCACAGGCCAACAACCTGATTCAACCCAACTGCAGCTCTTCTCTTTTCTGTGCCACCAGTTTTCTTTTCATGGTAGATGTTTCTTTTGAGGTAGATGTTTTTGTGATTCTGCATTCACAGATAAAGTAATCAACTCAGAGCTCTGGCATTGGTCAATATGCAAACTTAAGTGCATTTGGTATTTCAGCCATGTCTGGGTTTTGAAGGGTTCCGTTCTTGGTTGTTTTTGGCTCCTTGTACTTGGGCAAACCTAATGATGGTGGAAACATGTGACGAGACCATTTTTTCACTTCTTGTATGTATAAATAATACACTCTTAAATAGCCAGTGGATTGAAGAAAAAAGTCGTACATTAGAAAATACTTCAATAAAAGCAAAAACAGCGTAAAATAGGGCCAAGCAACACACTTATGACTATAACGCTTATGTTAAAAAAACAAAGTGAACAAGGTATGGTGGAATCCTTGCACTCTGGAGGCAGAAACATATTCAAGGTCATCCTGATCTGTATACTTTGTTCCAGGCCAGCCAGTGCTTAGAATACTCAGTCATGTGAAAAGAAGGGGTGGGGGGGTGGAGACCAAGCATAGTGGTTGACACCTGTAATCACAGCACTTGAGAGGCTTAAGGCAGGAGGACTCACACACACACACACACACACACACACACACACACACAAGTGAATGAGTGAGTGAACCTCAAAAACCTTCACTAATTTAAGAAAGCAGAAAAAGAATTCAGAGGTAGCAACAGAAAATAATGATATAGTTTGCTAAGAGTCTTTTATTATTATTATTTCTTCTTTAAAAATACTTTATTGGCCGGGCGTGGTGGTGCACGCCCTTAATCCCAGCACTTGGGAGGCAGAGGCAGGTGGATCTTTGTGAGTTCGAGGCCAGCCTGGTCTATACAGTGAGTTCCAGGACAGCTGGGGCTATAAGGAGACCCTGTCTCAAAAAAGACCAAAAAAAAAAAAAACTTTATTATTTTTTAATTTTTACAAAAAATTCTGAGAATTTCATACATGCATATAAGGCGTTTTGATCAAATCCCTGCCCACTCCCTCCCCTCTAACTCTTCCCATATCTCCCCATCACTCTTTTCTTATAATTTCATATACTCTTTCTTC